AACTCCCTTCCCTTTCTTTTCTTTCATTCACTGGGAAGGGAGGGCTTTTAAACAAGATTGTCAGCTTCTTCAGGCCTGCAGGAGACCCTCAGGGCATCTAGGACACTCAGGAAGGAGAGGCAGGTAACCTCTGTGATTGGTAACTGATTTTTTGTGATGCCCAAAATAAACCTTTGGGGCAGAATGAATTTAAGAATGGTATCAAGTCACAGGGGCCAATGCTGGCTTTGGGGTCAGATACGTAACGGGACCTTACACCTCAGCTCTGCCATTTGCTAGCTGTAGCTGCGTAAATGTGTGCAAACCACCTAATGCTCTATGCCTCAGTTTACTCATCTGCAACATGGATGACACAATACCTCCTCCGTAACCTATATGGGGTACTTGACGTTATGAAGCTTTTTTACACCTCCCACCATTAGCCTCTATGGCTGCCACCTGTGGTCTATGCAAAACATGCTTGGAGTGTGAGCATGGGACATGTGTGCCTGTAACCATGGACACCTGGGCCCAGGGAGCTCAGCCCTGTGCCTAGAGGAGAAGGATAAAGGCACAGGCGACAGCACGGCAGGAGGGTCACTCAGAGACAAGACCACAGACAGCACGGGGCTGGGAATCCCTAACACTATGTGCGAGCAGCCAGAGAAGGAGCATAAAGATTCGTGGGGGGTTGGGAGGCTCGGCTGCCTGTCTGCCTCCTTACATCCCAATCTCCTTGCCTGTGTGCCTGTGTGCCTGGCTCCCTGGGAGAGCAGCAATGGCCTGTAAAACCCACTGAGGACTCTAGACTCTCTTTACCCATCTGCCTGCATTGACAGTGAACCTGCCCACATGTACCTGTGGGCACTACAGCTAATATGAGGGTTGCTGATACAATACAGGAGATGCACATACCGAGAATCTGTCTTCAGGAAGAATTGACTTTATTCCCATCAGCAGCACAATCTCTGTTTAACAGCTAAGACCCAAGCCTGGAAAGGTAGGCAACTTTCCTAACGCCACACAGCTATGGTGTGTGGTCCGGTAAGATCCGCACACAATCCAAACCTGTTTGTCCTCCCCCAAAGCCCATAGGAACTGAATTAGTCACTGGTTTGCAAACAAAACACCTCTCCTATCCCTCAGCCCACACTGCATGCCACCCTGAGACTCAGACTGGATCACCCACACCGGAGCCTTCACACACACTGGACAGCAATGTGTGTGTGTCCCAGGTGCTGCAGAACCAAGAAGGCCCTGGGTCTCCCTTCAAGAGTTTCCACCCTTGCAAGACCTGCCTACCCGCCATGGGGTGACATCTCGGGGGCCATTTTTCTCAACCTCACCTCAAACCAGCTCTGTGGACGTATCCTGGAGGAAGAATGGCCAATGCAGATATTACATGCCAGAAGAACACACGAGCCCCTATATTCAGGCAGGGATGTTTTGAGTCCAGAAGGAATTGGGAAGTCGCAGTGGCTGCTACAAAGGAGGACATCAGAGCGGCCACATGGACAGCAAGTTTCCGGGCCCCAGTGAAAATGATCTCTATATCCACCTAACTTTCTATTTAGGATAAAAGGTCTGGTTCCCTGCTTCCATACCAGCAATGGAAAAGGCTTTTAAAATCACGGGGCTCTTTCTTCATTCCCATTGTACATGTTGGGGAAACTGACACCTAGAGGGAAGGAACTGCTTCAGGTGCCCTCATGTTCATGGCAGAACAGGGTCTAGTGTTCATGTCACCCTATTCTTTATGCCAACTTGTCAGACACCAGAGCCTAAGATGGGTTAAGTTTTTTAAATACCAAAAGAAAAAGACACAGGGTAAGTCTGTCCTTCACTTCCAAACTGACTATTCCCAGCTTATTTCAGAGTCTTCCCTCTGGGCCCACAGCTCACCGCCCTGCCTGTTCTCACAACCCAAATGCCGCAGGGACAAACAGGCTAAGGGGGGCAGCATCTCTCGGTCCCCAAAATCCACCAACCTAAGGCTATAGTGGAGCCCCAGCGACCTGCTCAATTCCCAGTTCAGCCACTCACCATTGGCGTGACCTTGAGCAAGTCACCAGCCCCCAGCGTCCCACCATCACCCCAGGGAAAGCTAGGGTAACTCCATGTGCCATGGGCACCACAGTGAGGATTAGAGGCCAGTTAACAGACATTGGGTAACAAGTGTAGCTGATGCCGGAGTGATTTCCCTATCTAAAGTTCTCCATCGGTCTCAACGGAGACCTTCCCATCTGTCAGGCACAATAGGTTCCCTGAACTATGAGACAAGGCCAAGCAATGCTGGTTCCCTGCCGATTCTCCAGTGAGTGCTGCCCTCCGTGACACCACCAGTCCTCACTAACGTGGCCGTAGGTTCGTAGAAACTTTCCCTTAAGTGAAATGACATATATGGAGAACAGGTCCGAGAGTAACGTCATTTTTGATGCCTGGGTTTTTTTTTTCCCTCTTAGGTTATAATGAACTGTTGTTATTCAAGGACCTTGCCATGATTACAAACTTTTCCCACCTGCACACAGATATTCCGATGGAGGCCCATAAACAACGAGCAGCTGCTTGAGAACCTGGCTCTGGCATCTGTCTGTGGGGTTTCATGTTGGGCCCATTATTTAACTGTAGACAAGTTAAAAAACCTTTCTGAGGCCCTCCCTAGTGGTGCAGAGGGTTAAAGTGCTGCACTAAGAAGCTAAAGCCACTTCCACATGAGTTTGATCCCCGCCTGCCCCGGAGATGACCACATGGTGTGGCAGACCTCTCCTGACCCGCCCGCTGCTCCCCTCAGCAGTGTACTTCGTAGATCTGCCTGTTTCTGCTCCTCACTCTGTCTCTGGTGAAGCCTCTCGCCATCCCTGAGCCTCTGGCCTGTACCCCAGTTCTGTATGCACAAATAAATAAATCTTTTTAAAAAAATTTTTAAAAATTAAAAAAAAAAAAACCTTTCTGACTTTGGTTTCTCACATCTAAAATGGGAATCAGCACACCTAACTCATAGGCTCACAGTGAGAACTAATGGGAAAATGTGTGTGAATTCAAGGATCCCCCTTAAGAGTAGCCAAAAATAACAACTCGGTATATGCCCCAAGGTCAGCCCTTTCTGTCAAGAAAGAAAGCAACAGTGGTGGATAAAAGTGCTGCAATGGGATTAAAGTGATGCTGAGTGACAAGTTGATTCTGTCACAGATGAGTTGAACACACTGAAGCATGAAGTCACCCCTTTCTCAGGCTCAGCGTCCCCATCTGCAAACACAGGGTCAGGCTGGTGGTGACCTTCCAGCTCTGAGTAGGAAAGTGTGCTGCCTTGGCTTGGGAGCTGCCCTGAGGATGTACATGTGAAGTTTGAAGTTCTGTCTCTACGGCAGTGTGATCTTGGGGGTCATGCTGCACCTCCCTGAACCTCAATTTCTATATCCATAAAATAGGACTTAAATAGGAGTCAGAGTAAGGGACTGGTATAATCATTTGGATCAATGCCTGGAAGTGGTCAGGGCAGGGACAACTCAGCAGTGGTGGGTGGTTTTAATATCACTATTGATGCCACTTTAGAAGGACCCCATTGCCCTTTAGGGAGAGGAGTATGGTGCTCCTCTTACAGCTACTCTGTGTCCATTTCAAGCATGATCACTGATGACAATAAAGCTTTGATGAGGATAGCAGCCATCCCGAGGACCCACCTACAGCACAAGGGTGGACAGTCCAGATTCCCGTGATTCCAGGTCAGTCTGAAGGAGGCGGCAGTCATCTGTCCCTCCCCACCCTGCCTAGAAGCAGCCCTACAGGGCTGCAGCTATGTCCTGTCAAGGTAACCAGGCAGCCTACTAGAAGGAGCAGTGACATCCAGGCATGCCCTCAGCAAAGCCAGGTTTTGGCAATTTGGGTCTGGGGAAACTGTTTTCCTGTTCATTCCTAAATAATTGGCCAAATAATTGGCCAACTAATAATTGGCCAAATAATTGGCTGGTTCACCAGAGCCTGCCCCGCTAAAGGACAGAGCCTATCTGTCCCGGACTGGTCAGACCCTTTCAAAGCTACCCAGAGCCTCCCTGGGAGACGAGCCTGGGACAGACAGTGAACTCCGTTCTTTTCTGGGGAGACAATGCTGCAGGCCCTGCTACCTGCCTGACAAGGCTATTGTGACTGGTAGAAAAGGGCTTTGTGAGGACAGAAGGAGCCTGCCCTTCAATGAGCCCTTTATGTCTGTGCTCCCAGCATGCTCCTTGCCAGCATTGGGGTGCCCCACCCCCTCCTAGAACAAATGGGGGGCCTGAGGCCCAGAGAGGGTATGCAAGGCTCTCCAGCTCAGCCAGCTGCCCAAAGTTTAAAACTCGCTTAAATCTGAAAAGCCCTATCTCAAAGCCCAGGGTGAACTCAATATGTCTTTGACCCTGGGCCCTGATCCCACAGTTCACACACATCCAAAGTACATGTATTAAGGAACACCTGTGCTTCCGTCTCTGAAATCTGGGCTCAGCTCTGGCACAAAGGACCTGTAACCTACACATCGACTCTGATTTCAAAAGGCCAGGCCAGCAAGAAACATCCCACAGCTCTTCTCTTAGATCCTTGGAAGAAGAGCTGAATACAGGTAGCAAGAGAGTGAGGTTTGTACCCCCACTGGCTTTGGAGACAGATGCTGGGCCTGACCAGCAGCAGGTCTCTTTGGTAAGAGAAAAGAAAAAGTAGTTCACACCCTCCCTCTCAGGTAGTACAGATGCTTTCCCAAGGCTCATCGGGTAGATTCTGGCTTCTCTGGGTTCTAGGACTAGCCCCAGAGATAGCCCCCTCCATTGCACTATGGTGCCACACCCCTTCAGAGATAGAGATCCATAAAGTTGGCCATGTACTGCTGGCAGTACTCTTGAGATGTGGTCACCCTTGACAATATCTGTGGTTTTCCTTTCCTTCTAGCCTCTGCCTTGTCTACCTTACCCAGGATCACAGGTGGTACACACACGTGCCACCCCCACCGCACAAACACAGGCACCTATTCACACACTGTGTGTCTTATGCGACAGATGAAGAAGTCGGTCCCACAGGGGAATGACATGCTGAAAGCCCCTGGCCAGTGAGAGGAAGTGTGGAGACCCCCCAAAGGGAGCACTATGGACGCATCTGGAGGGCAAGTTTGGGGAAGAGGGCAGCGCAACCCCATGCTAATTTCCATTCCTTGTAAGACCTTGGGGACAAGTTCTTCTGAGTATTTAAAACTGGCTTTTCTATTCCTATATAAAATGTTCACAGGAGGGAAGCCCGCGACAGGTGTAGAAGCTTTTTGTGCTGAGCTTCTAACTTCAACCAACTCTGTAAATTATCTCCACATTGGCCAGAAAACTGCCCCTCTCCTGCGCTGCTGCGGCCCATCACCCTGTCACTGGGGACGAAACTGGGTGCTGACCCGTGTCGCGCAGGAGCAGCGCCCAGCCCGGCCCGCCCCTCGCCTCCTGCCCGGGGCGCAGGCGGTGACTCCCTGGCCGGCGGGAGCCTCGCCGCGCCGGGAGGGTGTGCGCCCCTCGGCGGGTAGCGCAGCGCCAGCGCCAGGCCCCCCAGCCCCGGAGTTGCCCAAGACGCGGGTGACTCCTCCCCGGGGACCCTCCCCCTCGGGGCGCGTCATTCTCCCCACCCTCGAGACCCGACCCCGGCGGCTGCTCGCGTGTCGGCCACCTGCTCCGCAGCCTGGAGCCCCAGCCGGCAGCTCGCGCGTCGCTGTGCGCGCCCAGGTCCCGATGGAGCTGCGGGCCGATAACTCCAGCTGCGAGAACGGTGCGTTTGGCTGGGAAAATAGGGGTGGAGACCGGGGGGACTGGGGGGCTGGGGAGACCCGGGCTGCGAGGTGGGATTTCCAGCGCGGCATCTCGCGCCGCGCCGTCCCCTCCCCGGGCCTTTCCTTTGAGCCCTTTCCTGCCAGGAGCCCCAAAACTGAAGAAGGGGGAGTGTCAGCACTAGCTGTCCCCCGCCCGGTTGTGGGACTCCTCTTAGAAAGGAGCCAGCAGAGTTCTGGCGGACCCCCGCCCATCTTTGGAGCTTTGGAGGTGTGGTAGCTTGGGGGGGGGGGTTAGTAAAAGGAACTGAGGGGGAGGGCAGTGGGTAGGGGGTGGGTTCTGTTTTGGTTTTCGTTTGAGCCCTGGGGTGAGGGTGGCAGGTGTTGTGAACACCGCAGCCTGGGCTTTGAGCAGAAGCCTCTTCTCCAAGGAGTGGTTGGCCTGGTTCTCCCGGCCTCAAGCTCCTGCTGTACGGAAAGCAGCGAGTAATCCTCGCTCTTCGCCCCAACCCCTGCAGCTCTCCAACAGGACACCCTCTGTCCTGGGGGCCAGCCCTGCGCACCCCCTTAGTGCAGTGCGGGGGTCTCAGGAGTCGCGTCCTGGAGTCGCGTCCTGACGAGCGCCCTGCGTCCACACCTCAGCCGCTTCCATAATAGGCACAGCGTATTACAGTTTTCCTACCCTTTCTGCTCAACTGTTGCTCCTATGGTGATCACTCCTCTTTCAGGGGTTCTGACTTTTGCTCTGCAGTCTAACTTGCGTCTCTGAGGAGGTGGGTCAGCCAGAGCTTCACTATGCCGCCATCTTGCCGGACGCCCCGCGCTTCGTTTTTTCAATATAAAGTTACTTCCGGTTTTAGCATCATCCCAGGTCTGGCAGCCTCTCTGAGGTGCATGACAGACAGGAAAAATGGGCGCAGAGACCCACCGCCCCCAAACCCACACATACCTTTTAGAAAAAAGAGAGAAGGAACGCTGTCAGGAAAAGATATGGAAAGGCTGTTGGCTTGGCGCGGAGCTCTTAGCATTGATGCGGCGGCCCCCTCTCCTCGCGTGAAATCACCCTTCAGCTAACTCTAGCAGTACTCTGGAGGTACAGAGGCTCTGGAGATTCTCATGATTGGCTCGAGGAAATGCAATGGGGAAATAAAACAGAAAGCAAGGACTCTTCTTTTCTAAAATCTGTGCTGGAACTAAAAGGCCCAATTCTTTCCTAGGTCCATCTTCATGTGCAACCCCTGGTGGATTTGCAGCCTGTGGGATGTCCCTGTTTCTCTAATTTCTTCTCCCATGAGGCTTCAAAACCAGCCACTCGGGTGCTGGCTGGCTTTGGCTTCCTGACCAACCAGGCGGCCCATTTTCAGCCTCTCCTTCCCTTGGGGAGGAATGTTTCCCTGGTGTAGCACATTCTGAAAGAGAGGCAGGAGGCTTCAGGCCCTCTTGCAGCTAAGCCCTTTCTTGGGAATTGGAACTCCTTTGGCCATTACTCCTCAATATTTTTCTTTTTACCCCCATGGGAGAAAGGGGCTCATGCAAATTGCAGAGCCCCTTGGATGCTTCAGGCCTCCCCCAACGGCCACACCCACAGCAAGCCCTTTGCCTCTGCCTGCCAGAGAGGCAAGCAAGTCAGGGGAGCAGGGGCGGGGCAGGGCGTGGGAACAGACTTGCCCTTCCTCTTGGGAGTAGCCTGCGTTGGCCCACAGCCTCCCAGGTTCTGGCTCACTTCCTGAACCCCGGGAACTCCCCGGATTCGACTCTTATCCAACCTGGAGAAACAGGAGTGAGCGGTCAGGACAAGTGTGATGAGAATCTGAGCTGGCTTCTTGTCTCATCTCCTGATTGTGACACTGGTATTAGAAAGAGCTCCCCACCAAACAGACACAGGAGTGTCCCCGGGAGGGTCCAGACCCAACTGTGTACCAGGTATTTGTGTGACTCAGGCAAGTCCTTCACCTACCCAGCACCTCAGCCTCCATAGCTGGAAGTAAGAGGGTTAGATGGGCTGCCTTCAAGATCTCTCCCAATTTATGCTTAGTGAGATAAGCCAGAAAGAAAAACAAAAATACCAGATGGTTTCGCTCATAGTAGGAGTATAATGGACCAGGCGAGAAAATAATAATAATGATGAACAGCCATATACCAGAGACATTTTGTGGGGGTGGAGTGGGGAATGGGATCAAAAACGTGGGGTGGGGGGAGAAGGAAAAAATAGACCTCTCCCAGTGCTACAAGCTGTGCTCTATGCCAAGAAAGAAAGGTATCATGTTCCACCATGGTGCCCCCCCTGTGTTCCAGGTATGCCAAAGCCAGAGCCACCTGACTTGGGACTTCAGGGGCCTGCTAGCACTAGAGTTCTTGTTCTGAGGAAAAGTTGCTGACCAGGCTTCCAAAGGACCCTGGGTCTTTGTGACAGTTTGATAAAGACCTTCTACCAGAGGGGTCATAGTCTCAATTCTCTGTAGACATCAAGCACTAAAAGTGCCAGTGAGGGGCCCTCCCTGGTGGCACAGCGGGTTAAAGCACAGCACTATGAAGCTATCCACAGCCACTGCAGCATGAGTTCAATCCTTGCCCCCGAGGTGACCCACATGGTGCAGCAGACCTCTCCTGTCTTGCAGGCTGCTCCCCTCTGCAGGGTACTTTGTCAGTCTGCCTGTTCTGCTCCCCACTCTCTCTCTCTGGGGAATCTTCTCACCGCCCCTGCACCTCTGGCCTGTTCCCAGTTCTGTATTCATAAATAAATAAATCTTAAAAAAAAAAAAAAAAAGGTGCCAGTGAGCCTGTAGGAACCTGGGGGACTGCACAGAGCATGTCCTATGTCTCTCAAGGCAAGCAAAAACCCTTCACCCCTCAAGTCTTGAATTTTCATGGGAGTTCTGATTGTTAAATGTTGGTAGCAAATTCATCTTTTTACATAAAACTCAAAGAGGGCAACTGAGCCTCCCTTCCCCCGCTGCCTGCTTCAAGGGGCTGTGAGGCACAAGTGTTGGCATCAGGTGAGCTTGCAGTCCAATGTCTGCCTTTTGTGCTTAGCTCCAAGGTAGCCTCAGGCCAATCGCTGAACTTCTCAGGGCTCAGGTGTCTCCACCTAAACCAATGGACATGGTCATTGTGTCCATTTGCTAGAGAGATAGGAATGCCCACAGAAAGCCCAGAGAGGGAGCCATGTGGTTGCTGTCCCTGGGGGCTTATTGGCTCTGCTGTGAACTTGCCCAGCTTCACTCTTCTTGAGGGTCTGCCCCCCAGGCCCATGCTTATCCTGTTGTCATTGGCATTTGTACCAGAAGAGCAGGCTGGCTCTGGGCATGCTGGAGGGTTCAGACTCTCGGGCAGTCTAGGGCTTGGAAAGCAAACTGAAGGTAGATCCTGTCTGGGATGGTGGGGACATCCCCAGTGCCCCCAGCCATTGGCCACACACACCAGAGATCTTGGAAGTAAGGCTCTGACAAATGGGGTGCTCGTGGTAGTCATCTTTGTGCCCACATACTCATGTTCCCCCCAGAGCTTTGTAGTGGTGGGAATTAGGGCTGTGGAATGAGCTGGACCCTGCAGGGGGAGAGTCCTTCCTGATCTGGAGCTACCACACCCTGGGCTGGAGGTTAGGAGGATAACCTGCAGGCCAGGAAGCTGGATTCTGTGAGCTGTGAGAGCTTGAGGTGTGGGACATGAGTTGAGCTCAGTGGTTTCACCTTGAGACAGGGAGTCAGATGTTCCGAGTCCTTAGGCCAAGTACTTGACTTCTCATGGGCTCCATTTCCACATCTATGCTGTGGGAAATAAAGGCAGCACTCACATGGAAGGTAGATGTAAGAATTGGATGAGTTCATGCACACAGAGCCCCTAACTGATGTCACTAAACCAAAGGCTTGCATACAGGCCAACACCAAGGGACCAGGTTTTGAGAAAAAAAGAAGCTTTATTGCTAATCAATTGGTAAGGAGGCAAGTGGTTAGCTCAAATATGATGTTAAGAAAGATGAGGTTAGGCCCTCCCTGGTGGCGCAGCAGGTTAAAGCACAGCACTAAGAAGCTAAAGCCACTTCAGCATGAGTTCGATCCCCGCCCCGGAGGTGACCTCTCCTAGCAGGCCCACTGCTCCCCTCAGCAGTGTGCTTCGACAGTCTGCCTGTTCTGCTCCCCAATCTTTCTCTGGTGAAACCTCTCGCCACCCCTGAACCTCTGGCCTGAACCCCAGTTCTATATGCACAAATAAGTAAATCTTTTAAAAAAAAAAGAAAGATGAAGTTATATAGGTTCTGAGAACAAAGAAATTAAATTTTATTGTCTAAGGAGTGGGCTAAGGACAGTGTGAACTTAGCTTAATGTGTAGAGGGAGCAGTGTTCGGGGCTGTCTTCAGATAAATGCAATTTGGAATTTCTGTCAGTGGGTCCCTCGGGTCTGGATAGCTCCCGCCCTCTGCATTTGTGTCTCCAGCTCCAGTTGACCTGGGGCTCAGCTCAAGGTTAGTCACTTCTGCACATGCTCACATTGTATTATTTACTTGTTAATTTCCAGGCTCTGCTGTAACCAAAGCAGGAATTTGAATCAGTATTTTAAAAGCAAAGGAATGTGCTTAGGCTGCCTCTCTCACCATGGTCTTCCCATTCAGGGTCCCTGATCAGCCTCTACTGCTCCTCCCAGCAAGTCTTGTGCCAGATCCTCAGGGACCCCAGCTCTGAGACACCCAGCAATGGCACCGTTCTCAGCTGGCAGGAGAAGTTCTGGAAGAGCTACAGCTTCTATGTGGGCCTGGGCCTGGCCTTCCTCTCCAGCTTCCTCATTGGCAGCAGTGTCATCCTCAAGAAAAAGGGCCTTCTACGACTGGTGGCCACAGGGGCCACCCGGGCTGGTAAGCAATTCGGGGACGGCAGGGCCGGGGGTGCTGAGCCCCTCCATGGGGTTACAGCTGCAGGGTGGGAACGTGGCCCAGCAACACAGAAGACTCCTTGTTGACCCTGTGGGATCCCACCCCAGCAGTAGAGCTTCCCGATCGCCCAGTGCTCTGGGGTTCATGCCAGTGTCTGGCATGAAGAGTGGAGACCCTCAGCGCCAAGAAGCAGAAACTCCAGGTCTGGTTCTCGTTCAGGATCTCATCCACCCACCTCAGCATCATTAAGGAACTACAGCATGGGAACACAGTCCCTGTCCAGACAAAGTCACACGCCAGGGTGACCTCACTTGCTATCAAATAGAGCTCCCCACCGGCTGCTAAAGAATCATTGAGTGTCTACAGGGATTTGCTTGTTAGTCAGATAAGATGTGTATCCATGAAGCCATTTTTAAAACAAAGAAATTTACTCAACAGTTGGTTTGTTGCTCATCTTGCAGAGTGTGCCTGCCTCGTGCCAGGACCCGGTTAGACCTGAGGGATGCCGAGCCCGATTATGTTCAGGGGAGAGCGGGAAGAGAAGAGGGCCATGGGTCTGTTGTGTTAAGTGCCATCATTGGAGGATGATGCTGTGGGAGAATTCTGGAAGTGCTGTGAAGCTCAGATTTGGAGGGAGGTGGGGAGTTTTCGGTAAGAGGTGACCTGGAGGTTGAGGCCTACGTGATGAGGAGATATGAGGCAGAGGGAACAATGAGGGTATGATGTTCTGACAGCAAGAACAGACAGCACCGCAGAGGGTGAGAGCATGAGCCATACCAGAACTTGAGCAGGGTTCACGATGACTTATGCTTGAGGACTTGCCGTGAATAGGGGAGCGGTGGATGTGGGGTTAGAGCCAGAGGAGAAAGGGTCCTGAACCAGGCTTCAGATTCTGAGTGCAGCTGGAGGAGGCAGAAAGGTTTTGACCAGAGAATCAGCCATCGGGTTCACAATGAGAGCAGGCTGGCCGCAGGGCAGGACGTGGGTCAGGGACAAGACTGGAGGGTGGGAAGCTGTTGGAGGAGAGAGAACTGGGACTTGGGAAACAGCCATGGTGGTAGAGGCACGTGGTGGAGGCCATACCTGGCTTCTGAAAGGAGAACTGACTGGGTTTGGTGTCACCCGACCTCACAAGCGGGGGTGGGGAGGGTGGAGGGTGGCCGGGGTTGGGGGGGGAGCCCAGGATGACTCAACTTTCTGATTTGGGCAACCAGTGAGCTCCCGGGCCATTTCCTGAGATGAAAAATGCAGGAGGAGCAGTTGCTGGGATGGAGATGTGTTCACGGGTGAGCATGTTCAGGTCAAGCCTCTGTGGGCCTTGGGGTTTGGAAGCAGGCTAAGTGGGGCTCCAATTCTAGCTCCTCCATTCTTGGTGATATGGTCCTGGGCCAGGCCAGTGGCTTTTCTGTGCCTCAGTTTCCTCACCTGTAAAATGGAGCTAAGAATAGTTCCCATCTCCAGGAAGGCCATGAAGATGTGAAGTGTGTTTGACCCCAAGGTGTTGGGGTTTTCTCAGTGGGGGTACCTGGTAGGCAGTTGGCTACCCAAGTCTAGGGCCTGAAATGTAGAGCTGGCAGGGGCTTATGAAGCCAGCCACAGTGGGCATTGCTGCCTTGTTCACTTCCAGACATGTTTTTGAGATGCCAGAGACTGCCCAAAGTGCCAGGAAAAGCTCTGCTTTTTTGTGTTACGGTAGTGGACAGGAAAGTGTCACTGACCATTAATTGGGTTGTTGGGTAAGTCATGACTCATTTTTGCTTAAAAACAGAAAAAATAGGGACTCTTCCTGGTGGCTGAGCGGGTTAAAGCGCAGCACGGCAAGCTGGCTGCAGCCCTTCACTGCAAGTGTGATCCCCCACCCCGGAGGTGGCCCACATGGCGTGGCAGACCGCTCCTGACCCACCCACTGCTCCCCTCAGCAGCGCACTTCATCAGTCGGCCTGTTCTGCTCCCCGCTCTGTCTCTGGTGAAGCCTCTCACCACCCCTGCACCTCTAGCCTATCCCCTAGTTCTGTATACATACATACATAAAATCTTTTTTAAAAAAAGAAATACTCTTAAAAATAAAAAAGAAATAGAGAGAGAGGCTCTGTGCACATCAGAATTCCTCTCTTAAAAAAAAAAAAAAACAGAAAAATTACATCATGACTTTCCGGCAACCCAATAGAATGACAGCATCTCTGGAAGCTATTTCAGTATCTTCTGAGATTTCGACCCTCACATAAAATGATCTCAAAGCTTTTTACTTTTATGGCAATTTCTGATGCTGTAGGAACAAGTGCGACCATTTAGTGAAGGAACAGTCCCAAAGGGCAATATGCACTGTTCGGGTTTTCACAAAGCTTCGCTAAAGCCACCCCTCCCCATCCTCGTCATCTTCCGCAGCGCTGATATCACTGCGTGCTGACTCCTTGCACCATAGATCAAAGCAGACACAATCCCTAGCTTTGTGGAGCTTCCCTTCTCAGGGGGCAATGGCAGAAAATAAACAACCCATTCACACGACTAGTGATAAGTGCCAAGAAGAAGAGCTTGTGCTATGAAAGAGACCCCCAGGGGGACAGGACAGAGACAGGGACTCAGGGAGGTATCTCAGTGGCAGCCACAGTGAGGGACCTTTCGAGAAAGCGAAGATTTAGGCAAATTCCAGTGAGGAGACTTGTGGGCCCAGAGAAAAGAATGTGCACAGACCTTTAGGCCTATGAAAATCACTCAGCATCCTCTTTGAAGATCTCAACACCTGAGCAGCTAGTTGGTAGTAGCTAGCTGGTAGTAAGAAGCTGGCAGAAGACCAGCTGCAGGGGCCAGCGGCCCTTGGTTCACTATAAGGTGGGGGCCACATCATTGCTTCATTCTTAAATGCCCCCAGGCTGCTCTGGGAGGGGCTGATTAGAAAGGGTGACATTGGGGCCACAGGACCCTGAGGCAGCCAAGAAGCCTCCCCCAGTTAAGACAGAGTGGCACGTGGGGGTGCGGTGGTGGCAGTGAGGTGGGCACAGTGTTATTATTATTATTATTATTTTTGGAGACAGAATCAGCAGGATGGGCTGGATGCAGAAGGCGGGGCAGGGGAGGGGGCGTTGGGGGGTGCAGGGATGATGCCCTGGTTTCTGGCTGAAGTCACTGGGTGTGAGGAGGTTCTATGAGTTTCACTTGATGGATTGGTGATTTAAAATAGACTGTTCCCAGACATTTAAAAGGATGAAATCATGACATTTGAGTGAACCTAAGTGAAATATTACAGAAACTGAGAGAGTTGCCATAGGGTTTCTTTAATTTGGGGAATATAAATCACCCACGAAAACAAACTAACAAATCACAACAAAAAGAACACTTACATTGTGAGGAGATGGAGCTTACCAGCAGGGAGGGGCTGGGGGTGGGGAGGGACTGGAGGTGGGATAGGGTACCTGTGATAGGGATCTTGGAGCATCAGTGGAGACAAACAGGCATGATGCACAAAAAGCAAGTGCACGTTAGGGTATGAAGTTGTCAAACACATGTTTTTGTGTGGCAAATTGGTAAAACTTTAATGGGGAATAAAATAAAATCAAGAGTCCATTTGGGACGGAGCTTGCGATGTCTTTGTAAGCTGGCTGGCTCTGCAGGGGAACTCAGAAAAAAGGTCAGGAACCACGTGAGGAGAGGGGTGCCTGCATTGGATGTTGTGTCAAACATGGGGAGAGGCTGGACTCCCCCAGGAGAGGCCCGGGCAGCAAGCCCCCAGAGCTCCCCAAGGGCAACATACATTGACTCTTTAGCGCCAGGGGCGGGAGTGGCTGACAAGCAGTTGGGACAGCATGGCCGAGCGCTAACTCTCTGTCCCTTCTCCCGACAGTGGACGGAGGCTATGGCTACCTGAAGGACACGATGTGGTGGGCTGGATTTCTCACCAGTAAGTGGCTCTTTCTACTGACCCAGTGAACTGTGGTGGCAGAGGCCAGATGACAGGAGGCAGACAAGGCACCACTGTGTCTGTGGTAGAAAGTAGGAATCAAGGCCCACAGTGCTGGGGGAAACCACAGAATTTGCAGGTGGAGCATCTTACTTGGTTCAGGTCACTTTGTCCATCTTTCATCTGCAAAGCAGATTCGGACAGAGCTGGTTGGTGAGAAAGGTGTCTTTCACAGCTTCCTGCAACCAAGGGAAATGGTAGCCACCCATAGGATCCTCTTGGATAGCAACTTGGGTGGGGCTGGGCCCCCTCAGGCCCTTTCCCTATTGTTGACTCACTTAGAGTACACCTTCCTGCTACTGAAAATTTGCCCAAATTTTTAGTCACACATCCAGCTTTGAAGTCCTAATTCTTCCAGATGAAAATTTGCTATACATCTTTCCTTGGGAAGTTAGCTAATCTTCCATTAATGGTGCTTGAGCCAGGTTTGAGCCCAATCTAGGCCAGCACAACATGTTCCAGCTCATGCTCCACCAGTAGAGACAGAAAAGGCCCCGCAGGAGTTTCCACCCTGATAACCCAAATGCAGAAAGTATGGCTCCTTTGGGACTATCCTTTCAGTCTGGACTTCCCACAGTTCCACTGAGAAAATGGTCTGACGGGTCCATTGGTACCGAGAGAACAAACAACATGACTATTTCTTTGAACTTTCTAGAGCTCACCTTGAAGGGACAGACCATGTATTGGCAGTCCATGAAATATACTTATATGTACCCAGACTAAAGGCCAAGAAGTTTGTACCCACAAGTGTGTCCTGTGGCTTGGACTCTGGCTCAGCTTCCCTGAGATGTGTAAAACAGGACAGTTCAGGTCTGGTCCTGATCAGATGCCCTAGGCTGTTAAGGCATGGAAGCCTATGGAACATGGACTGGACTTGCTCATGGGCTGGGGATGGTGTTGGGATCTCACTAGCTGCCTCTCTCCCTTTATTCCCCAGTGGCCGCAGGAGAAGTTGCCAACTTCGGGGCCTACGCATTTGCTCCTGCGACAGTCATCACACCCCTGGGAGCGCTGAGTGTCCTCATTAGGTCATTGTCACCTCTTGCTCGGGCTGTTTGGTTTGTTTATTGGGGGGGGGGAGGTTGTTTGTTGCAAGGTGGGCAGGGGAAATCAGAGACTGGGCAGGGGGTCCCTAGCTCCAGAATGAGGTGGAGTGCTATCCAGACCTTTGGGCCCTTGGATTGCTTGCTGTCCATGGCTTCAAATCTCTGGGGCTGAACTGGGCCATAGGCAGGCCAGGCGCAGAACATCTGAAGGGCCTCCACAGGTGAGCAGAAGGTGACCTTATGTTTTGCTGACCTGACAGCAGAGGCATGAAATTACAAGCCTACACTGTAGACTAGCACTCCTTGATCTTGACCTTCAGCTCTGTCTTGTAGTTATAACACCATGGGCAAGTCACCAAAGCATGGTAATCCTCAGTTTCCTTATCCACTAATTGGGGGTGCTGATAATACCTACCTGGAGGCATTGTTTCAAGTGTCTTTGAAGGTGAAGGCTCTTCTACCTTTTTTGCTTTTTTTACTACTTCCAGTTTCTAAAATAAGGAAATTCACGTGCATGTTGGTTTCTCCACTGCACCCTGAAGCCCTGCGCAAATAAGTCTCTGTTTCATACATTTTGGGGTCTCAGAAAGTACCCACATGTGGAAGGAGGGCGTCTTCTCCCAGTGCACTGGCCCAACCCCATCGTCAGGGGTGCTGGGGCCACTGTGGCCACTTAAAGCCCTCTCCCCATACCCACGCACAGTGCCATCCTCTCCTCCTACTTCCTGAACGAGCGCCTGAACCTGCTGGGGAAGCTGGGCTGTGTGATCTGCGTGACCGGCAGCACGGTGATGGTGATCCACGCGCCCGAGGAGGAGAAGGTCACCACCGTCATGGAGATGGCGTCCAAGATGAAAGACACAGGTGAGCCAGCCGGTGCTTCAGCCCGAGTGGCAGCAGGTGTGACGGGCTCAATGCTGCCCCAGGGAGAGGGCAGCTTCTGACAGAAAGTTGGGTTGGCACCACGGCCAACTCACAGGTTTCTGGCCTGGTATCTGTGGATGCCATCTTTGAAGTGTTCTAATTTTTTTAAAAAAAGATTTATTTATTTATGCACATAGGACTTGGGTACAGGCCACAGGTGCAGGGGGTGTGAGGGGATTCACCAGAGACAGAGTGGGGAGCAGAACAGGCAGACTGTCAAAGTACACTGCTGAGGGGAGCAGCGGGAGGGTCAGGAGAGGTCTGCCACGCCATGTGGATCTCCTCCCGGGCAGGCGGGGATTGAACTCATGCGGAAGTGGCTTTAGCTTCTTAGTGCTGTGCTTTAACCTGCTGCACCACTGGGGAGGGCCAAATCCCAAGTCTTTATGGCGCCCCCTGTTGCCATGGGTGCTCGTTATTTGCTCCATTACACCGGCTCTTTCCCCGACCCACAGGGTATGTCGTGTTTGCTGTGCTTCTGCTGGTGTTCTGCCTCATCCTCATTTTCATCGTTGCCCCCCGTTATGGGCAAAGGAACATTCTGGTCTACATTGTCATCTGTTCAGTGATCGGGGCCTTTTCTGTATCTGCCGTCAAGGGTCTGGGCATCACCATCAAGAACTTCTTCCAAGGGCTGCCGGTGGTGCGGCACCCCCTTCCCTACATCCTGTCCCTCATCCTGGCCCTTTCGCTCAGCACTCAGGTCAACTTCCTCAACAGGGCCTTGGACATCTTCAACACCTCACTGGTGTTCCCCATCTACTACGTGTTCTTCACCTCTGTGGTGGTGACCTCCACCGTCATCCTCTTCAAGGAGTGGCACAGCATGTCTGCCGTGGACATTGTGGGCACCCTCTCTGGCTTTGTCACCATCATCCTGGGTGTGTTTATGCTCCATGCCTTCAAAGACCTGGACATCAGCCGGGCCAACTTGCCCCACATGCACAAAAATCCCACCCCAGCTCCCACCCCAGAGCCCACGGTCATTCGGCTGGAAGACAAGAATGTCCTGGTGGACAATATAGAACTCTCCAGCACCCCATCGCCAGAAGAGAAGCCCAAAGTCTATATAATCCACTCATAAAACTGGGAGTACAAGAGCCAGAGGTTGAGCAGGCACAGCCTGACTTCTGAATTCCAGAGTCACTTGGTTATTATCTGCACAGCTGTCCCCATGGGCTCCTTTTTCTTGTAATGTTCATGTATACCTCATCACTGTTTCCAGGAGCAAAATCCCTACCCAGTGAGCGGTGGTGCAGAACTTTCTGGAAACACAGCCTCAGTGACCAAATACTCTACTGTACATTGGTGCCAGCGGGTGCCCCATGGCCGCCCTTCTCGCTTGTTTCCTTGGTGCCATTTCTGTTGTCGAGAAGAAACTAGAACTTGACCTGTTGAATGTAGCACAGTCGGAGAATGTCCCTGTGGTGTGGGATGCCAGGAAACCTCAGCACTAGGCCTCCTGGGATGGACTCACCAAGCCTCACTGTGAGGCTCAAGTGTGACTGGTGTCCCAGGCACCTGAGAGCCATTGGCCAGGCCTCCCCATCCAGAGCTCACCGAGACACAGCGCCTGTCAAATGTCTCCTTGCTTTTGCCACCTCCTATTCGGAGCCAGAAGCAAGATCCCAGCTGACCTCCTCACTGTGAAAGCCACCTGATGTCTCAGGGAAACAGCCCCCAAGCCTGTCTGTCCCCAGCGCCCCACCCTGAGGTCAGTTTCTCTGATTCCATGCACTGCCCCCCTTCCTCTACCCCTCTACCCCTTGCCTCACTCTCCTGGCCCAAGAGTCATTGCTGAGACATGGGGAGTTATCATAGAAGTCAGAGCAAAAACAGCAGAAAATGCTTCATAGCCCAGCTGCCCAAATTTAGTTTGCCACACTTGGAAGAAAACAGCAGTTGCACTGCTCTTGAATGTTGCCTAGCTGTCCAGCTAGAATTTGCCAGAATGCACGTCTATTTTCTTCAAGGAGTAAACTAAGAGATACTTTGGGGATCTGGGGAGAGGCAGGAGATGCAGAGCTGGGATTCAGTAGGAAGCAGCTATAACCTCTTCGGCACGCTGACTCCTGTGTCTAACCAAGAGACTGGCAGAAAGGGCGCTGGGTCGTTTCTGGGCTGCAGCCTGCAAGGCTTGGCCAGTGGGATCAGCTTGAAACTTTGGTACCAAGTTGGGGTGGAGGCCTGGCACCAGGTCCCCAACTGCCCTGCCAGGCTATAGTGTGTCATTGCTGCTTCCTCACCATCTGCTGGGGGTTTGCCTTTGGTGCCCACACATCTGGCCAGAGATGTCCCATGCATCCTTATGACCTGGAGAGAGGGCAGATTTATCTCCCTTCCCTTCTTTCTTCTTTCTAGTAGCGAGAGTATGGGAATTGGTATCAGGACCACAGAGAATGAAGTAGGGGAGCCTGCATGTGTCAGGGGACGGCACAGGGTCCCCTCTGTGCACCCTGGCTCCTGCATTTGGGTTGATTCCCCCATGCCTGCTGAAAGCACAGGCAAGCCCCAGCCACACTCATGCTGACCTCTGAGCATCAAAGACTGACAGACCTACTGGCTCCCGGAGCCTCCAGCCGCAGGTCCCTACTGTGTGATGAATGTGGGTTTCTGCTGTAACTCAAATCAATGCAAATTGTTGTATCTGGAGATGAGCAGGGCCCGGAGGGCTCTGGGTATGGGGTCTGGAGAGCCAAGAATAAAGACTTTGAGTATATTTCCTCAGTACTGGTGTTTCCACCTTCCTTGCACTGTTTCCTCTACTCCTAGGATGGTCCCCATTTCTGGGGTGGGGGGCTGTGGCTGCTAATGTGTCCCTGCAGTGGCTTACCTCACCATGCCCTCAGCAGAGTGGGAGGCGGTTTGGGGAATGTGGTCTGTGGAAAACACGCCTTTTAACCCCTGGGCCCTTTGCTACGAGCCAGCCCAGCACTAACAGCTTCCTGTGAGTTCTCCAAGTTCTCACAAACCCCCAAGGTCGATATTTTTTCCTCTTATTTTATATACAAAGACAGGTCTCAGAGAGGTTCACACAGGCAGCCAGTCCAGGATGACGTGGGGCTCTGAGCACTTCTAGTCTTAGTCACCAGGCAGACTGTCTCCCCAAAAGACGACATGTCTGATGTCACTTTGTTAGTTTCCTTTCGTGTGATCTGTGCTCCCTGTCTGGAGATAAGCTTCTTGAAAATTGGTCTTTCTGCTCAGTGCCTAGCACATAGTTGGCATTCATGAAACATTTTTTGAATACACGTCCAAAGAAGCCTTCTCTGCTCAAACTTTCAGGGCCGGCCTCCATCCAGAGTAAATCCTGACAGAACCCCAGTCTGCTAGAGAGGCGATCTGAAAATAGGAATGGTCAGGTCACTGGCCAGGCCTTTTGGGTTTCATAGCATTTCGCTGAGGCACTTTTGAAGTGGACACTGTATGCTTGGGACTCATTCACCCTCACCCATCTAGGCAGAATCAGAGGAGGTAATGGAACCCAGGTCTGCAGGGCCAGGCTCTGGGTCTCAGCCTGCTGGTCCATCTGTGACCTCGGCCAGACACTGGTTGAGTGGCCCCAGGGCTGGCTCAGATCGGATTTTAGCAGCAGGGGTGGTGAGGTGGGGCTGCTCTCAGGAGTGGGTATTAGTAGCCAAAGTATTTTATGCTCAGGGTGAAAAGTTAGAAACTTTTTTCAGATATGAGGGTTTTGTGGATAGAATGGGGTCAAGTACCATGCAAGGCCTGGCATGGATTAAGGACTCGGTGAAAGTCTCCTCTTCCCTGGTTTTCATGACTTAGTCTCTCTCTGAGAACCTCAACATTGAGGTGGGGAGCAAACAAGAGAGTGAGAATAAGCTCCTTTTCAGGACTGAGAGGCCTGAATGGATGTGACTCTGGTGTCACCCACACTCTGGAGTCAGAAGACACACCTCACTCTGGCTCTGTACCTGCCCACCCAGCCTGAGTCAGCAGACTTGTCTCCCCATCTGCGTGATCAGAGGTGAAAAGGGGGCTCAGCAGTCCCCTAAGGGCTGTAGTAGAGGGTGAGAAGCCCTGCAGCTGATCACAAGGCCATTCCTAACTTTAGAAACCTAATTATCTAGGCCAGCTCATGTCCAGACACACACAGCCCCTACACTGGGTATAGTGGCTCGCTGTGGTTTAGTGTTTCCATTAGGGCTGCTGGTCTTTGCAAGACTTCTGTGAGGGCCTCATGCCCTGCACCCAAGCCCTGACTGATCATCAGGCACTAAATAAGAGCTACTCAGCCAGACAACATTCAAAAACAATTTATTTTAATTAAATACAAACAAGGAAAAAAGGCACTATGGCCCATTCAAGTATTTTGCATAGATGTACAAATATTGTAAACAATTAATAGTGGACAAGAGAGAAGAGGATCTATGAACAATCTCCCAAATAAAAAGAAAATTCACATTGCCTGGATCCCAGGCACAGACATACACACAGTGGGTGGTGTGAGGATTTTGCGGAAGGGTGGCTGGGGTGAGTTGGGGTGCCTGGCTGGGATTCTGTGGAACCTCACAAGCGTCCCGAGGGATGGAGCACCTTTCCAGTTGGTGTTGTCTTTGGCTGTCTTGGGTGTCCAGCAGAGCTGTGACACATGCATCGAGCACAATCACTGACTTTAGAATTGATCCCCAATTTCGAAGATGCAAGTCTTGCATCCCCTCTGCCAATAAGAACAAATCTGGACATACAAAAGGGAAGGCTTTTTTCAAAAAGATGACTGCAAGGGAGGGTGAGGGGCAAGTGCAATGGGAAAAGCGCTCATTGCAAGACCACAGGACCTGGAGTGACCTCCCGCCAGCTCTGCATGCACTTCAGACTTGAGACTTGCAAATGTGTCTCAGAGCATCGGCAAAAAACCAGGCCTATCTTCTGGAGGGAGAAGTAAACAAGACTTAAAAGAACCTCTGGTGAGCAAGCAGTCACACTTGGAGCCAGGAGCCTGGGCTGAAAGGCCCTCTGAGACAGGGAGTGTGTTAGCGCCCTGGGTGTACCCTGCCTGCGGTTTGCATCTCAGAGATGGCGCCAAGGCCAGAAAGAACCCAGGTCCTAAAGCTGGCAGGAGGCTAGCTGACTCCCTCCTGAGCTTTAGTTAAGCCTCTCTCCTCCCCACCACTGAGCATGGGCCCACCCCAGCCTGAGCCAGCACCCAGTCCCTCCCTCAAAGGCTGTGCGCCAAGACCTCCCTGAGCTGGTTCTTTTTAGCTGCATCACTGGGTCCCATGCAGGGAAAGGCCTCTGCCTGGGCTTGGAGCCGCTCCCAGAGCTCAGCACACCCCTATTGCAGCAGCCCAGGCCCAGGCAAAGCTCCTTCCCTTCTCCCTCCCAGGGGTCCTTTTGAATAAAGTCTCTCCCTCCTAAAGTCCTGATTTATGTTTGCACATTAAAGCAGCACATGGGCACCGGAGGGTGAGGGCTTGACAGAGTTGGGAGGGAAACAGCCACTTGGATCTGCTGCCAAAAAATCCTTTACAAATTTTTTCTTCTTCAAAAGTTGACCATCTTCCAGTTCACAGTACAATTTCATGGGATGGAGGTGGTATTAAAATAATGAAAAACAAACAAAAAACAAAACAGGAAAGCAATAACCCGGTGGCTTCCCGGTGTGGGTACAGGGGGTAGAGTTTGAGTTCCAGGGGCTCAGCAGCCGCGGTGGCCACAGCTTCTTCACCTCAGAGCTTCCATCTTCTGAAGGACAGCTCTAAAGTCTGAAGCCACGGAACACCTGGGGGCACGGGGTGGGGTTTGAGGGTGCTCTTTTTTCTTTGCAGGGTGTTTCCCTTTATGTTTCTGGGACCCAACCTTGAGGGCCTGGTCTTTGGAGTAGACCCAAAACTGGAGTGAAAAGTTGCCCATCAGCTTGGTCAGGGGCGGGGGAGGGGGAGATGGGAGCCCACATAGGAGACGGCCAGGTGTCACCAGTTCCAATGGTCCCAGGGAGATACTCTTGCTTCCTGAGATCTTTCTTTATCCTCCCAAGCTTGTACCCCCGAATCTCCTGGCCTACAAACCAGGAGTATCTATTAAGCACCTATTGTGTGCAGAGAACTGGTGGGGTTCCTGGGTGATAGATGGGGAAAGGAAAGCTCAAGTCTCTTCTCTGCACTGCTCCCCACTGAGGGCAGAGAGTCCTGATGTCCAGCACCTTCTGGGGGAAGGAGGCAGCCTCAGAGAACGTGAGATGTCCAAGCTAACAGAGTGCCCTCACTCTCCTCCCCTGCTCCACGGAGGCCTGACCCTTTGCAGGGGTGTCCCATGCTGTTGAGGGTCCGATAAGGGCAGCAAGTGACTCTGAAGTGGACACAGGAAGTGCACGATAAAAGTCAGGTCGGTGACAGATCGCATGAACATGTCTGCCGTCCTCACTGCACCTGCACCTGCTGCCAACCTGGGCCCCTGACTAAGATCTGGGTCACAGAGTGGGTAGGAGACTCCCCCTGCTGAGGTCAGAAACACAATGGGAAAGAAAGCGGTGACCCCATGGCCAGGGGTCATATTTGAGAATCCACACAGGGAACCCCGGGCCCAAACAAGCACTGGGTCCCCAGGAAGGGGTAGCCTTGAGGTCCACGCTCCATAGCACCGCACACATTAGGTGGATTGGGGGGGAGGGTTAGGGGAGGGAAGGAAATCCAAACACAGGATTTGAAAGTGCAGAGGAGAAAAGAAAAGAGCAGCTGAGAGTGGAGGTGGGTGGTGGAGTCGCAAGCTTTGGCTTTGGCATTCGGCTCAGAGGAGGCGGCGCTCCCCCTGCTGTCTACACTGCCTATGAACAGTACCTGCCTGAGTCAGAGTGACCAGGTAAACAATAAGGGGGTTGGGAGGTCGCTTGACTTCCTCACATGGGACCACTAACCAGTAGCAGTCACCTCCACAGGGCAGGCCCGTGGCAAGGCTGGTTCAATCCCTCTTAGTCTCAGATCTAAGAGGAGTGAGTGATCAGTGCCCATGATTGGGCCTGGAGACTGGAGAAAGACAAACAAGGGTCTCGTGTACATCTTCCACTGTGGATGTGGGTGGACACCTACTCGAGTTCTGGCCTACCTGAGGCATGCCCAGGGCCTTTCCTCTTACCTCCTGCCACCTCCATTGGCCCCTCTGAGGTGGGAGGCCAGGTGAGAGAGGGTTGGAAGGTGATGCTTCCTTCATCCTCCACCTCTACCCTGGCTGTCTACTGTACCAATAACACTTGAGACCATTGGATGGCATCCCTCTGGGCCTCCAGGAAGCCAAGGCAGCACGAAGTCAAGGAAATTTTTGGAGATGCAGTGGTTTCGGGAGGCAGGGGGAGGCAAGAAGGTGACTTCTTGACATGCTTCTTCCAGATTCCATGGCCATGGAGCCTCGGTGGGTGTAGAGTCCTCAAAGAGAGGGCACAGCCCCTTTGGAAGGCTCTAGATTTTCGAGCTGGTCATCCCCCCAGCCCTCTGCCATCTGTAGTCAGGGAACTGGGGAGAGAGGAGAGAGTAACATCAGCTAAGTGCTGGGCCTTAGACTCAGTAGAGAGCTGACTGTGTTCTTGTTTTCAGGTGGTTCACGGGAGAGACAAACATCGGTAGGAAAGAATCTACAGATTCCTGTAGAATCTGATAACAGTTTGCTGGTCCCTTAACCCAGAGGCCTGATGGGAATGATGAGCTGACCCAAAGCAACAGCTCAAGCCCACAGATTTCCTGGGGCCTTGTGACTACACAGGGCAGTGTGTGGTCCTATCCCATCCCTTCTGCCCGAAGTCCAGGATTAGTAGCCTGAGCATGGGGCAGCCCAGGACCAGGGGGCATGATGTGTGTGCAGCCCACTCTGACCCACACTCGTTCTCATGGAATGCCTGGACCTTGGCCAACATTGTTTGGTATTGCCTCTTTTTGGACAGGACACTGAAGCCCAAGAGGGTGACCTGCTCAGGGCCATGCAGGTCTGAGTTGGAAGCCATCACCACTTGGGCTCCTAAGCATGGCTTCAAAACCAAAGCACCCTGTCACCTGTCTAAATGACAGTTACTCAAGCACCAGGAACTGCTAAGCTTTGGCCCTTGGCTTCTGTTCTGGGCAGTTCAGCCCTGCAAATTTGTTCCTTTTATCCACACTCTTTCTTCTCTGCCCACCCCCTCCTCCCTGCCCTGGAGGCCTATGACTCCACCTGGGGGGTCCTGGGGGCTTACCTTTGGGGCAGGGCCTGCGAGAGGCCGGGTAGGTGAAGGGCTGGGGACAGGAGGCCGCAGGAGGTGGGTGCCGGCAGGTCTGGGGAGGGCCTTGCGGCCTGGCACCGGGTTAGCAGGGAGTGCCTTCTGGGGTGGCCGAGGTCTGGAGAAATCCTGGGGAAAAAGCAGCAAGTGTCACTTGCAAGTCTCACCAGCAAGTCCTTCCCTGCTGGAAGGAAAGTGTTCCCAGTATATTGCAAGTCAAAAATATGATGAGAAAAGGGACGTGCCACCTGATGCCACTTAATAACCAATCATGCAAGTGTGTGACAGGGGATAGGCTTTTTGGAGAGCAAGGTAGGGACCTGTTAAAATTAGAAACACACATTCTCTGAGCTCTTCACAGCACTGCTTAGTGCCCACATCCAAGAACTTTTTGTACAGAAGTGAAATTACAAGGATGTTTCTCACCACACTGTTTATGATGGCCATGAAACCAGAGCTTCTTGATATGTCCATCAAGCAAGAAATTACTAGAATCACCGAGTGGCATATAACACGGCATGTGAGAACAGAGAATTAGGTAGCTCGGCACTGAAGGACAAGCCAGAGACCTGCTGCGCGACCAGCTGTGGAGGGCAGTTTCCACCCCTTCAGCAGCACCCCCGCCCCCCACCGCCGACCTCAGTGCGGACCTACAGAAAAGAGTCGGGAAGGACACAGACAGAACTGCTAACTGAGATGTGGTGTGTGTGGAGGGAGCCCCTTCCACCAGTTGGGCTCACGCCACCACAAAACCTCCCTACTAGCAGGTCTCTGGATCGGAACAGCTCTTTTCTCTCACACAGCTCACAGTTTGCTAATTTCTGCTCCAACCTCAGGTCTCAGCTCAAATGTCACCTCCACCAGAATCCCCAGACAAGGGCAAGATCCCTTGTAACTAGAGTAGCCAAGCCTCTGCTTCATGGCACTAATCACCATGTAATGCCACAGCACCCAGTCTGCCCCCAAGCAGAAAGAGCGCTCTGGGAGAGGGATGTGTCTGTGGCACTCACACTGCCCTGGGCAGTAGTATTTGTAGAGAGGGACCACAGATTCACCACCACCACCTCTCCGGGGGTCCAACGACCCTGTTAGGAGGGGACTGAGCTGTGATCACTCTACTCATGACCCCAGGTGCAGTCCTGCCTGCAAGGTGAAGAGGACGATAGAGTGAGCCCAGACTCAAGCCCAGACTCCTTCCAGCCGTGGAAGGAGGTGGGCTGTCCTTTCAGCCCTGCGGGACCCAGTCACTGGCAGGAACACCAGGGCAGTGACTCCTTCCTCACGTGGCTCTGAGGAAGGAGGCTGTGGATAGAATTGAAACCTGCAGCTTGTGCTCACAGTGGCCGCTGCACATTGCCTGCCCTGGGAGGAAATTTACTGGGCCCTGGGTCCAGGAGAAGTGAGTTGGATCTGCGGGGCTCCTGGGTAGGTGGCCTCCTGCATGCTAGATGCCTGCTGGCAGCTACCCAGGAGAGCAGGAGGCAGGGCAGGTAAGGAGACCCAGCTGGGTATCCTAGCTGGGGGAACCAGTTTAGCACTTAGGCGCTGATGCTCTTTCTCTCCCTGTTACAGGTGAATTTTCCTCCCACCAAGTTCGCACTTCGCACCGCAGAATGTGACTGTACTGGGAGATATAGCCAGGAAAGGGGTAAAGAAGTTAAAGAGGCCTTAAAAGAAGATACCAACTGAAGCTGACCGGTATCCTTGTAAGAAGAGGTTTCTATACCCACAGAGACATAGGGGCACAGGTGCTCAGGCAGGAGACAGGAGGATCTGCCATCTGTTAGCCAAGGAGAGAGGCCTGTGAAGAAGATTTGACACCCTGACCGTGCACTTCCAGCCTCCAGAACTATGAGGGAATCCCTGTTGTTCACTCCCCTTGGTCTGGGGTAGCGTATCCAGATGACACCAGAATCTCCACAACCACAGAGGGCCTAAACTGAGGCTCTCAGCTCTACAAAGCAATGAAACATTTGAGGGGCCTTCCAAGACCTGGACCAACCCCATAGTTCTAGGGTCAGCCCAGGCCCCAAGGGAACCTTCTGGAACAAGCTCAAGAAAAGCAGTCTAAAGAGGGAGATGAGTGAGGCCCTCCCCATACTGGTCAAACCCACAACCCCAGTGGCTGGGTCCAGATGGGTGGCAGTGACCCATCACAGCCCCAGAAAATGCCCGAGCCAAGAGGCATCACCAGCAGCTGTCCAAGCACACACAGGCCAGATAGCAGGCTGCTGGGAGCTGGCTGGCCTTCCCACCAATGCCAGGGGTGGGGCACATAGCCCAGACCCCGCTCACACCTCCCCAAGGCCCCTGCCCCTTGAATGAGTAAGACATCAGGGCAGGCCTTAAATATGGTCAAGATGCAGGGGGACACCAGCTGTGATGAGAGAAATACAGGGCATGGAACTCAGACTTGGGAGCAGGAAAGGCTTCTTGGGTGGTGTATCTCAGGGACCTAAGGATGCCTGGGAGCTGGACAGCAGAGAGGAGGAGTGTGTTGGGCCGGAGACATGGCATCTGCAAAGGCTGAGAGATGACAAAAGGAGCCAGGGGCACTGAGTGATGCTGCTTTGAATGGAGGTGGCTAGTGGGTCATCGTAGGCCAAGCAGGGAGAAAATGCTCTGGAGTCCAGCTGCCTTTCTCATTGCTCTCACCCTCTCATGCCCTGAGACTACCAGAATGCAGGAAGAACAGTCAGCTGCCCTTGCCAGCTCTCCCTTCCCAGCCTGTCATTCCCCATCACTAAGACCTGAAAGGTGATGCGTGTGAGAAGTCACATACCTGGGAGAGGATGCAGTTGGGTGCAGGAGGCACTGGCCGGCTTGGGGGAGGCCCCCTGGATGACTCCTTCCTTTGTACCTGGGTGCCAGCCCCTGAGGAGTTCTGAGCAGCCCTGATGAGGTGGGAGGGCAATGGCGCAGGTGGGGCCCTGCCATGAAGGTAATCTGGAGGGGGCCGAGGAGGAGGCTGGGACGGCTTCCGTGGGACCTCGGGGGTGTTGGCCACCTATGTGCATAATAAGATAAAAAGTGTGAGAGACACAGGAATCCCCATGGCACTTAAAAACTTGGGATAAAGAGAAAGTAGCCAAGTGCGAGGTACAAAACACTTACCTTTCGCTTGCCTTGGGGTGTCTGCAGCTTGAATGTTGGGTTGGTGTGGCCAGTTCCACTGTTCAGATTCGCCCTGAAGGGACAACTAGGAACAGGACAGGGAGGAGGAGAGTGAGCAGTTCACCACAGGTCAGGACCTGAGTACCCGCTGACCCAAGCACAGACAGTAAGTGGCTAGAACTGCCCCAGCCCTGTTAACTCCAGCTCCTGAGGTGCAAGGATGAATGTGGCCATGGTGAGCCCCCAGGAGAGCTGGCCTGATGCAAAGAAGTTTCCCTTAACAACGTCTTTCCTTCCTTTGCAGACCTTGTACCTCTCGAAGAAGGTACAAGGATGTCACCAGCCATCAGCCAACCCCTCAGGTATATATATATATAGTCAGAGAGATGTGGGATTTAAAATCCCCTCCAGGACAAGTGCAATTAACAGGAGACTCAGAGACAATGTTCAAAGGGATGAATCACCAACATGAAGTCAGACTTTGCTGTGTTGCTTGTTTGCTTGTGTTGTTGTTCCACTAGCCCTATGGCCAACTGGGATTAGTCATTCCTTCCCGCTTGCTTCAATCTCCTGTTCTTTAAAATGGGTACTAAGTCAATCAAAAAAGGAGGGCCAACAGATTCCATTTCCTGTACCCCTATGAGTTGGCTGGGGGCATTGAGATGAGAAGGATTTTGAGGCGATGGCAGAGGTCAGGAGAATATTTACATAAGACCAAGTGGTGACATCTGCCATGGTCATGGAGCACTTGACCTCCCTGACAGACCCACCTCCACCCACCTGTCCACTGTGTACAGTGTGCAGAAAACTCGATCATCTCTAGGACCCCAAGTCCTTCCTGGTACCCCATCATACCTGAATTGTTGCCTCAATTTGGAAGAGAGGACTAAGGACCGGAAGAAGCGCAGCTTGCTGTTCTGCTTCCAGTAGTAGCAGATCAGGATGAGTCCCACCATGCAGATCACCAGGAGCACTCCCGTCACCACGGAGCCCATGCCTGCCAGAACAACCCACAGGGGAGAGTCAAAAGCTGACTGGCTAATGCTCTGGATTCCAAACAGTGTCTGCCAAGGCTTTACCAGATATCTGACTTGCATTTAATTTATATTATTTCTTCTAGCTCATGTATTATCATAAAAATACAACTAGTACCGGCCTCTGAGAAACCACTCATTCTAACTTAAACTACCAGGTTGGGTGTCTTTGCACAGAACTCATGATAAAACTGCTCCGGCCACTTCTGTTTCATTAAAGAGAGTCCCTCAGGAGGTGGGAAATGCAAGCTCTGCCATTGTTTACCACTGGTTTTCAGCATGAAGCAGGATTTTCCTGGGCACAAGGCAAGCAAACATGATGTCACCTCGGGACTCACCAAAACTGTCTCAAAATCCTCATGAATTAGATTTAAATGTAGGAGATACATGGACACCAGAGAAACACTACTTTTGTCTATTTCACATTTTGAGATTGCTTTTTTGAAAGATTTTGTTAAAATAAGTACTTAGTCACTAATGTTTAAAAGTTGAAAAAGCTGTAAAATTTTCTGAGTGTCAGTCTCCCTATTTGAGTCTTTGTTCATCCGAGAGAATCTGAGTCACGGAGACATGCTTTAAATATTTATAAATAATTGTTTTTTGTAATGTCTCTTTTGCTGTACAGAAGCTCTTTAACTTGATGTAATCCCATCTATTTACCCTTGCCTCCACTACGGTGGCGTTTGGGTACTCTGTCTTTAAAGATGTCGCTGAAGTGTATGTCGTGTAGTTTTTGACCCATCTTGGCTTCCAGCTATTTTATGATTTCCGTTCTTATGTCTAGGTCTTTAATCCACTTCGAGTTGATTTTTGTGACTGGAGTGAAGCAGTGATCTAGTTTCATTTTTTTGCATGTAGCTTCCCAGTTTTCCCAGCACCATTTGCTGAACAAATTTTCTTTGTTCCATTGTATCTT